ATTTCGTTCCCATTTTTCCATGATTTCATTTTCTTGGTGAGACTTGTCTCTTCTCCTCATTGAACATTATGCTTCTTTTGGCATTGGAAGAAATGTCATCTCTTGTTCTCTATAGTCTTGTGATTTCAAATTATCTCCAATGGTTAAGTGAAGTACGTCAGCAACTTAAACAACATTGATATTTGATTATAAATGAAAGAAAGCTGAATCAAGAGAAACTTTGGAGAAAAAGATAGTAGAGTATTAACAGGAATTGGTAGTGCATAATAGCCTCTTTCTCAATGTAGTTGTAAGTAGTAATTTTACTTAGCTTTCTGTTCATTGATCTATTCCAATGCGCTCTAAGTGAAGATCTTAAGTGTTTCTGTCTTCTTGTCATGATATTTGCCTTCACCTATATTTCTTTAGCATATTAATAAGATATATCGTTTGCAGATTTTTAGGTTTCATTCCCATTTTTCCATAAATTTGATTTTCTTGGCAATAGACTTGTCTCATCTCCTCATTGAACATTATACTTCTTTTGGCATCACAAGAAATGTCATCTCTTGTTCTCTATAGTCTTGTGATATCAAATTTCCATTAATGGAAGTATTTCCGCTTCCTAAAGAGGATTGGAATTTGATAGTAATTGAAGAAAAACTGAATCAAGAGAAACAATGGAGAATACGGTAGTAGAGAAGTACAAGGAATTGATGAGCATAGCATTTTGTACTAAATTGGATCAGCAGATCATTGCACGAAAAATCTTCGAATTTCAAGGGAAAACTTGACTATCTCCTAAAAATCTGTGCAACGTCTGCACCTTTACTAAAATAGCCTGTTACAAGTCACCTTCAAGATAAATAGAACTACACTGCCTGTCAGTTTCTGTTAACATCTATAACAGCAATTACTGCTGTTGTTTTGTCATGAAATTTTGGTGTATGCATGAATATGATTTCATCAGGGTTTAAGCAATTCAACAATTCACAGATTCTGGAGAAAGGTGACTACACTATGATTTCTGGAAATCCCTTCATAAAAAAAGCTGGTAAGTTATCAAGCTTGGGTCATTGGTTTCTTCTACTCTCAGCTAAATTTTACTGCATAAACAGCATCATTTTTGTGCAGGTTGGAGGAAGATATCCTTTTACTTCAATCTATCATATGAAATTAAAGACAAGACCATCGAATTTGATGAGAACCGTAATGTCCTGCGTGCTGAATTTATAGTTCGAGCGTACATGCAGTATGTTCTTTTGACTCTCTCACTGTTCCTATTGAAACATGTTGCTTTGCTAGATTCTTTTCAGCTTGATCCATTTTGCCCTTTCTTTGGTTTGTTTGTAGAGGCGGTAGGTTCTCAGATGGATGGGGTTCATGTGAGCGGCGGGAGAAGAAGTTTCTAAAACCAAATCATGACATTCCCAGCACGGCAGAAACCAGAGCCAAAAATAAAGCATGTCAGGTACATAAATCTCCTACCTTCGGAACACTATAAAAGATAAGTTGTTGTTCCTCGTTTAATTCGTTTTACTAGTTCTCAGTCTTGCTCACAGCTTATGTGTTGGTGGAGCAATTTCTAAAATGATTTTAGGCTTTACTGTTGTCGATTGCCTGCAACTCCATCTTGTTTTTTTGGGGATGAATTCATTGTTCTTTGTGAGTAGGGTCTCTGGTGTTGTTTCATCCATATAAGGTGTATAGATAAGCTAAAAAAGTAAAACTGCTTTGAGGCTTATTTCAGTTTTTTGGGCTCTCGTGATGCTGTCAAGCCTAACATTATTACTTTGAGTCGTGATCTAGCCTGAACTTAGTAGTAGACTAGATATGTGAGAGCCTAAACATATGGCTGTTTGTGTCTTTACTAGCTTCCCTCTTGCCTTTGTCGCAAATTGAGATGGACTTACATATAGTTTGGTTCTACAATTTTATACTACTTTAAGTCACTTGATTTTAATTTGCTAACCGGAGCACTATTTCTGGAGTCAGATGGTCTCCACTTTCCGGCTCTATTTCTCTATAGTTCATCCTAACAAATATGAAATTCTTGCAACACCTAAATTCTATTTCAATACTAAGTTTCTGTAGAACTAAGCATGGTTCATGTGTTTGACAAAAGACTGTGAAATCTTTATAGGGTCACCCTTTCCATTCTCGTAGGAAAGTAGAACAGTGATCTGTTGCTAAACCAATTGTATGGCACAAAGTAGTGGAGGATATGAAGAAGAACATAGAAGCTTTCTATCAGTGTTCTTTTCCCCATTTATACAGGCATTTTGCATATTGAAAGTGCATGGTCCATGAAGGGAGCCTTGGAGCAACGGTAAAGTTGTCTCCGTGTGACCTATAGGTCATGGGTTCGAGCCGTGGAAGCAGCCACTAATGCTTGCATTAGGTTGGCTGTCTACATCACACCAATTGGGTGCGGCACTTCCCCAGACCCTGCATGAATGCATGATGCTTTGTGCACTGGGCTGCCCTTTTTAAATTATGGCATACTTTCCTTATCTGTGTTCTTGTTCTTGCCAGTCATATCTATCTGTACCATTCACTTTCTGCTGTTTGGACTGTTTATTCCTTTTAATAATCATCAATACTGTGCTATCATAAGTTAGTTTGTTAAGCAACTCAATGAGTCTAAACATTTACAGGACTTGCTTGGAATTGGAGAATATCGACCTGGTGTGAGCCAGAGTAACCGGTAGAACAATCAAACAGTAACGTCCTCCATACCTGAGTCATTTGTAGTTCCATTAACCAAGAAGAGAATACTCATTATAACAACTCTCCTCCTAACACAAGGTTCACTCAACCCCAAACCTGATATTAGGTAATATGAAAAGCCATGGAAACAAGTATAGAAAGAAGTTGTATGCACTGTAGTACACACCTAGTGTGCTTGTAACATCTAAAGCCAATCCTGTACTTTTGATTTATTATATTTTTTTTCCCACTTTATTCTCTCCTTAACGCGACACCAACTTTCAATCTTGGTGACCCCGTGTGTAATAATACACCAGGCAGCGGCATGGGCTGATAATACTACTGCTATACTTTTCCAAGTTTGATAATATGAAATGACATTTCTGTTTGGCATTTTATACATAAATTGACAGTTAGCTTGTCTTCATCATCTACTAGCAGATGAGCTTTGCCATACCTTTTGACCCAAAATGTCACTTTTTGTTTCTTTACTGGCAATGTGAAAATGGGCAAAGGACCTAATAGCACTGTAAGTAGAATATTTTTAAAATCTGACACACCGACAATAGCTCTGGTTAAATTAGATGTATATTTCGAGTATTGTGTATATTATTGAGATAGTGATACTTCTATTAATGATCTCCGTTGACATCGCCGTTCTTGAAGAGTGTGATCTATGATCCACAATAGCTTCTTAAAAAATGAAAAGTCTGTCAAGGAATTTTAGATACACGTGTATGTTTATAGACTTCTTTTGTATTTTCTTCTAATTAAATTGCTTAACCATGTATATTGATATGATTTAAGTATGAACATCGAATGTGGTAAATTTTTACTGTTTCACTCTGGGCTAGTTAGTCCCATTTGTATTGGTATTCTGTTATATTCATACGATTGAGTATATTAGTTCATTAATTTCTCAATTTGGATGTGGATGTCTTGACTTTCTTAGAGTTAATTCATTACTTATTATTTACCTTTGTACTTTCTAAACTTTTGTTTTCTGATATACAGACTAAGCTCTTAAGGTAGTGCTAATGGCGAGTGTAAATGTAGGTTAGAACGTTCTAATCATTTTCCATTCTAAGTATTAGTACAGTCATTTCAATCACAAAGTATGATTGCTAAAAAGAGGCAATTCATTCTGTTTAAAGCTAAATGTTCTTAGTAAAAAAATTTAATAATGGTACTGATGTTCCCCAATACTTCTCCATTTACATTTTCTTTTTCCTTACTCTTTTCATATGATTGACAAATATTTTCTTGGATGCTTTACTTTGACCTGATATTATGCAAAAGTTTTGTTCAAACCACAAGCTCTTATTTCTTTTCCGTTTATCTGTGGCCCTTAAACTCAGTTTTAATATAATGAGTACAAATTTTAATTCTCACTTTAAAAACTGTGTCAACTTTGACCATGTGAGTTTAGCAAAGCATAGTTAGTCTTAAATTGGGATAAAAAAGACTTATACCTTGACAGCAAATGTACTTTTGTAATTATGATGACACTATATGATTTAATAATGATTGTTGGATTCGACCAAAGAAGTTTCTTATCAACGGAAAGGGAATGCAACTATGTGGGATTTATAATATTAAACCGTAACTACATTGCAACCATCAAACAGTGTGATAGGATGGATAAATTAAAGCTCTCATTCCTATGCCCTAGAAGTGAAGAAACTTTTGGTAGAGAGTTTCCCCTATAATAAGTCTTATGCTATGCCAATTAAACTTAGTAGGCGTTTGGACATGAATACCAATTTTTTTTTTTTTTTAAATTTGGAATTTCACTAAAATTTGAATTGAAGATGAAATTGTGTTTGGTTATAATTTTTGCAACATAGTTGGATGTCTTTTTTTTCAACATATTTTGCAACTAAACACTAGCAACCGCTACCCATTTTCAATTGAAAAAGCATTTTCAAGTGAGATTGGAAAAATTGTATGATTTTGATAACCAAACATTATTTTTTAAAAAAAAAAATTTGAAAAAAAAGAAAAATTTTCTTATGTCCAAACGGGCTCTTAGTCGGGTCAGCGTGTTTTTAGATACCGAGTGGTTGAAAACTATATTGCACTAACCATCACCATTAGAAACAGAAATTAGCGACCGACAAATTTTGTAACTAAAGAGAAATCCGTCACTAAAGCAATAGATTATCAAAAAATTCCGTTAGTTATTTAACAACAAATCAACGACGAAGTTCAGCTGATTCTTTTTTTTTTTTTTTTTTTTTTTTTTTGTAGTGCGTGGCCCTCAGACCCCATAAGACATGGTGTAAAGGTTGAAGACCAAGGTGCTTTTTTTTCGAAGATATATACTGTACTACCATTAGTTCCAGTTCCAGCATATTCTTATAATTCTTGTCCTTTTACTTTTCTTTTCTTGTTCAGAGAAAGAGAGGATGTAAACCAGTGGAGATGACAGTTTAGTTTTCCCTCAGATGACCTCTCTCTCACTGTCCCCTTCTCACCAATTTTAGTCCTTAAAGCCATCAGTCTCTTCCAACTAGTAGTCAAGTTAATCTATGGCTCAACAGGTACACTTTTGTCCTTCATTTTTTTCCTATTACATTAGGAAAGGGAGACCGTGAGAATCGAACTGACACCTATTATACAGATGACTCTCACCAGTACTGCTAGACTGTAACTCTGTAGTGGTCTCCCTATCCTAAGTCTCCCTCATTAGCATCAAAATGAGATTCCTTAACATTTTTCTGCTTTATGTTTGAGCTCATCTGGTTTATTTATTGATTATGGTATTATCTTGTGGATTTGATTCTTGTACTTTTTGCTATTACCTTTTTATTTTGGAAGTTAAATTTTGATTATGCAGGAAGAAGGGTGGCCACTTGGGCTGCAACCATTGAATGTAAGAGGTGGGCAAGTCAGAAACCGTGGATTTAATGGATCACTTTCCTTCAATACTTTGATCACTGGTTCTCCTTCCTCTTCCACTGATTCTTCTTCTGATCTTGATACTGAGGTCTGTATTTTTTCATATAAATTTAGCTCTTTTTTTAATAAAGAATATTCTCTACATCCGAAAATTAGAAAATAGTATGCAAATATTGGTGTTGAAGAGATTGGTTGGTTGAGGATACAGTCAGTCGCGGAGCTAGGATATTTACTAAGGGCCTACAAGGGGATTCAATATGCATCTATTACATATATATGAAAATATAAATTTAGATTTGTATACATAGTATAATTTTCCGACAAAGAACGTACTGATGATTTCCCTTGTGCTCCCTTGCTCAGGGGCGGAGCTAGCATAGGACTTACGGGTTCGGTCGAACCCAGTAACTTTGGTCCAAAACCTGTATTTGTCTTAAAAATTCATTGAATATGTATAAATTGTTAATTTAGAACCCAGTAACATAAATGAACTAGAATCCCCAACCCACAAGCTTCAAATCCTGACTCCGCCTCTGCCCTTGCTCCGCCCCAAAATACATAAATAATGGAGCAAAGAGCCAAAGAGGAAGATATGTTAATATTCCATTGCGTATTTTTCTTTTCTTTTATTTAATCATCCAAATATCATGATTATACTAATCTAATTAATCTGGATTATATTCTCGTCGAATAGGACCATTAAAACATAAAAGAAAAAAGCATTTGCTATTAAATATTTATCTATTTCTGCGGCTCAAACTTAAACTTTTTAATTAAGGATAGAAAGATCTCATTCGAACTGTGGAAGCAGCTACTAATGCTTGCATTAAGATATAATTGTCTATATTATTTCTTTTGGGATATGACTCTTCCCCGATCCTACATGAATGTGAGATACTTTATTTACCTAGCTGTTTTCTTTCTTTTTTTTAAAAGAAAGATCTCATTCATTCATTGCACTTTTGGTGTGTTCATTTTTCTTTTATGCATGCAGCATCTTCATGTTATACTATAGATTGCTATAATGTCTTTTTCTTAGTATATCACTATGGGGTCAATGTCTTATCAAAAGTGGGAGGGGGAAGCACTTTACTCTTTACACATGGCCTTTCAATTATTATGTTTCCCAGTCTGACTCAGGTTCAGAGAAAAAAATTATATTCCTAATAATTTAAACAAAAAAATATCTCTTTCTTTTCTTTAATATATATAGATGAATTTTATAATCAAGTAATGGACTAACCATAAAGTCAATATTCTATAATTGAATAAAACTTGGCATGATTGCTTTGAGTCTGTTTCTTTGAACCGATGTTCTATCGGAAACCGACTTTCTACTTGTACAAGATAAGAGTAAGCAGTGGAGGAGACAAGATTTTCTTTAAGGGGTTTAAAAAAGAAAAAGTTAGAAAATTAAAAGAGACTGCGACCAACGAGAATTGAATTAGCTACTTCACAAAGGTTTTGAACTCCGTTGATCACTGAGCTATGCTTTTAGATTATATCAAGGGGATTCAAATATAATATGTAGAGGCACAAAGCGGATTTTGCCTTGTATGTACAATGTAATTTCCCGCCGAAGGAGGTTCGAGTGAACCCCTTCTACCCCCAAATCCACTCCTGCGGGGTAAGGCTATGCACTCTCTACCCTTCTCAGACACCACTTGTGGGATTACAATGTTATTGTTGTTGAACAAAACTTACTTTTTTTTTGGTTGTTGCAGTCTACTGCTTCTTTCTTCCATGACAAGAGCATAACTCTAGGAAGTCTCATAGGAATTACCAGCATTTTAGAGCTTTCAGGAAGATCAACAAGAAGAAGAACAGTAGTAGTTGAACCTATATTAAGGGACAAGAAGAAGAGGAATAACAACAAATCAAGAACTTGGTTATTCTCTCTATGCTCAAAGCTAAGTACTGATGCAGTAAACATAAATAACAATTCTTCTCCATCTTTAGGCCATTTTCTTGAAGCAGAAAGAAGAGCTTCTGCTTCCAATAATGCTTATGGACTTGATGATTTCAATCTATTATCAGATTCAAATATGAATAATTCATTGTTCATTGATGGCCAAATTGCTCCTCCTGATGAGTCAAGAAAAGAGTTATTTGAGCTAGATGAAAATGGTCATGGAAGTCCTTTGATTTTCTCATGCTTATGTGGGCACTTAGTTCATTAATTGACTGATTTCAATCATTTTTTTCAAATGTTGTGAAATTTTTATTACCATTGTTGTTGTCTCCTTGAAAAGGAACATTTGGTTTAATGGGTAGAGGATTGTTTATTTGATTCACGAGGGGGTGATGAAATCTTGCAATTCTTGAGTATTTGTTATTGCCATCATTGGAAGTATTAAATTAATTTTCTTTCAACATGTTGGTTCTTACATCGCTTGTTTCCCCTTAAAGCTTTAATCACATTTCCTAGTTTCAACATTGTGGTGCATGTGTACCTTTTTGGTTCAGACTATCCCGAAATACAGAAGGATTTTTCATTATTCCCCGCGTCTATGTCAAAATCTGAGCTCAAATCTGGCTGAAATCCACAATTATAGCTAAATTCAACAAGAAGTAATTTTTGGGATAATTTTCGATTTATTAACTGAATGGATATATTACGAAATAAAATGAGAAAACAAAATAAGCAACAACAATTAAATGATAAACACCATTGATGACAACTCGATTCTGCAAAAGGAAAAGAAATAGATTAAGATGAGAGAAGAAATTTGGATTGAAGGGAGAAGAATCAGATGAGTGAGGAGAAATCTAATACCAGAAGTTCGATGGATTCTCCCCCCCCCCCCCCCCTCTCTATTTGATACTGATGGAGATGATCTAGGCTGTTGATCTATACCGGCCATTCTAATCTCAACCATTAAATTTTTCTGTTTTGCAATGAGGCCCTCTTACCCTTCTATAATTTAACTATGCCCAACTTTGAAATAACGAACCTAACAGACCATGACATACCCTTCCCCTTAAATTTATCCTTGTCGTCCTCAAGGATCAAAATGAGGAAATTTGGATTTCAAATTTGCATAATCTTCCCAAGTGGCATCCTCAGAAGCTAGATTCGACCATTAATTGCACTATGACCTTAACGGCGACAGGATTTCCCTTCTTAACCATTTGCCTTTGTAAGATGGCAACTGGTGCAACCAGAAACTGTCTGTCATCCCCAGTCTGGGGGGGGGGGGGCAGTCTGAGCAATGATCTTGGACCTCACCTTCTTCTTCAATAGAGAAACATGAAATATATTCCCGATACCTCCCAAGGAAAATCTCGAATTTGGATCCCAAATTGACGGGTTAGTGTGAGGGGTATACCTTGGAAGTGGGAGGCAATTACAATTTGTTAGCAACTTGTCCAACCTTGGCAATGACTTTGTATGGCCATAGAATTTAGAACTGAGTTTGAGGTTTCTTCTGAGAGCTAAGCATGTTTGCCTATAAGGCCGGAGCTTGAGAAACACCATGTCACCCACCTGAAATTCCCTTTCAATTCTTCTTTGATCTGCATATAACTTCATCATCTCTTGAGCTTTAACCAAGTCATCCTGCAAGAATTATTGAACTTGTTGTCTGTTCATTACAGCACCACCATCATCCTGGACATTAGTATCTAACAATGGCCCAACTGATAACTATGGCGGAGCAAAACCATACAAAGTTTCAAAAGGAGTGCAACCTAAACTGGTGTATTGGTATTGTACCGCCACTCAACTTGGGGTAACTATTGCTTCCATTGTATTGGTCTATGAGAAGTCATGCTCCTGAGATAGTTTTCAATACATTTATTCACCCTCTCACTTTGGGCATCACTTTGAGGGTGATAAGCAGTCGTGAAATGAAGTTGAGTGCTCAGTAGTCTGAATAGTGCCTGCCAGAAGTTGCTTAAGAACACTCTGTCTCTATCAGAAACTATAGAGTCAAGTAACCCATGTTGAGTATGAGCCTGCTTGAAGAACTTGTTAGCCACATTCACTGTAGTGTAAGGATGAGTAAATGTCATAAAATGAGCAAACTTTGATCTTCCATCAACTACCACAAATATCACTTCCTTGCCCTTAGATTTTGGTAGTCCTTCAATGAAATCCATGGTGATATGTTTCCAAACCTGATTTGAATGGGTAGAGGTTGCAATAGACCCGGGTAAGGAACATTTTCTCCTTTGTTTCTTTGGAAAACATCACAAACAGATACATGGTCTACAACCATCTGTTTTATACCAGGCCAGTACAATAATAGTGAGAGTCTTTTGATGGTGCCAAGTTGGCCTGAATGCCCTCTAACTGGTGAGTCATGAAAGGTTGCCAATAGTTATTGCCTGAGTGAACCAAAATTCCCTATATAAATTTTGCCTTTCTTTCTCAAAATTCTAGCTGTGTAATGATAGATGTGAGGCCCTTGAGTATTCACTGTTACCTCAAAGATCAAGGCAGTTGCATATGCATCCCCTTTATAACTATTACTGACTTCTTGCATCCAAGTAGGAATAGTTACGCTAATGGCCATAAACTCAGCTGCATCACACAAGGTTTCACCTTCTTGACCTTCAAACTACCTTGAAAGTGCATCAATAACTCTGTTCTCTGCCCCTTTTTATAATGAACTTCATAATCAAGTTCAAGTAGCTTAGTTAACCCTTTCTGTTGAATGGCAGTGGTTACTCTTTGTTCTAAAAGAAATTTGAGGCTATGATGATCAGTTCTTACTATAAAATATTTATACTACAAGTAGTGCCTCCACCTTTTCACTGCATTCAAAAGAGCCATGTAGTCTTTTTCATAAACAAATCTTCCTCTGTGTCTAGGAGCATGCATCTTGCTCAAGTATGTAATGGGTTTCCCCTTCTGTAACAACACAACACCTACACCATTCTGGCTAGCATCAGTCTCAACTACAATATCTTGAGTGTAATCGGGTAAGGCCAAGACCCGTGTGTTAACTATAGCTTGCTTCAGAGCTTCAAAGGCAATTGCAGCTTCCTCATTCCATTAGAAAGTTTTTTCTTATGTAAATCAGTCAATGGTTTAGCAATGACTCCATAGTTGAGCACATATTTCCTGTAATAGCCAGTTAACCCCAAGAATCCTATCAATCCTCTCAAGGTAGTAGGAGTAGGCCAATCCACCATAGCTTTGACTTTCTCATGATCAGTAGAAACTCCCTCCCTTGAAATAACATATCCCAAGTATTCCACTTTCGATTGCCCAAAGGAACACTTAGACTATTTTGCATACAAGGTCTGTGCTCTCAGAATTTGGAACATTGTTTCTAAATGTGATAGGTGTTCATGTAGGGATTTACTATATATGAGGACGTCATCAAAGAATACCAACACAAATTTTCTGAGTATAGGTTGAAAAACTTGGTTCATCAGTGCTTGAAATATGGCTGGAGCATTAGTTAGCCCAAATAGCATAACCTTGAACTCATAATGTCCTAAGTGAGTTCTAAAAGCAGTTTTATAGATGTCTTCACTCCTCATCCTAATTTGGTGGTAACCAGCTCTTAGGCCAATTTTAGAAAAGATTACTGACCATACAACTAACGAACGTAAAGCACACACTAAAATATGCTCGCCAGTCTAATATAGTAAATTATAATATCGTATCCACAGGGATTGGAGTTAAATAATATTTTTGTAGTTTATAGCTCAATTGCTATCCAAGATGATCAATAATGGAGATTTATGTGATTTAAACTAAAATTATCTAAGAGTCTAAACTATTGACTAGTGACGAACAATGAAAGTAATAGGCAAAGGAAGATATCAATGGGGAGAAAATAGGATTGATAGGATAGGTGCAAGACAAATGTTTGGGATCTAACTCTAGATAATTCACTTCTAATGTTCAAGTGAGTCTCTGGAATTCACTTGGTTATTAATTCAATTGTTTAGTAGAAACTCCTCTCTCGATTAAGTGTCAACCTCACAAGATGAATCAATTTAAGCTCGTGAAGATATGTAAAAATTCATAGTGGATTGGTCTTTAGGAGAAACTCTCTCGATTATCCTCCTAACTAGGATTAATCAACAATTCAATTAGCCTCTTTCGATTACAAAGAAGAATTAATGACTTCAACCAACAAAATATAATGCAAGGATATCACAAGTTATGCCTCTCTCGATTACATGAACTAGTGAATATAGATGCAACTATTAAAACATCCAAAACGATTCAATACATAAAAACTAGAGTTAATATCCACAAACAAGTATCAATACACCAAATCCATCAAACCCTAAAGAGAACTACTCCATGGATATGGTGTAATTCATCACAAATATGTTTAAATAAAAAAAAACATAAAACGATCCAAACTCTTGTCTTGAGTGAGGACTGAATGATGAAATCCTTGCGCTTTTGCTTCTCCACCTCCTCCTTAGCTTCCTTAGGTCTAAGATGTGTCAAAAGTCCTCAAAATAACATTTTACGTGTATTTATACTAAGTAGGATCAGGCCCAAACGAAATCACCTTCTCCTAGCCGAAATTGGATTGTTACTCTGTAAAAAATACACAAGCGCGCCGCATGGGGCGCCGCACCACGCGGGATGGTAGTGGATTTTATCAGGGACCTTGCAATTTCGAGGCAGCAACAAAATGGGCAGCCGCGGCGCGCCATGCGCCGCCCTCGCGCCGCCCCGCACGCTACGACTGTGGTGATTTCTTAGAGCTTGGCTTTTTCTTGACTTTTTGCTATCCAGACGTGGTTCTTGACCCCCGAACGAGATCCCGATTTAATCCCTTGGGCTTTTACTCAGATTTCAAAGCTCCAAATAGCTCAAATTTATTCCATAACATCTACATAGCTCGGAATCACTTCTACAAGGCATAAAACACACAATTAGTGCAAAATATTAGCAATTAAAGCTCAAACTCAATTAAAGTACAGTAAATTGGAGTGTAATAAGCGACTAAAATACGTGATTATAGCCTACCATCAACTCATCTAGCAAGTGAGCCACCATGGGAATTGGATACTTATCTTTGATGGTTATCTCATTAAGCCCCCTGTAATTCACACAAGATCTCCAAGTCCCGTCTTTCTTTTTAACTAGCAAGGCTGGTAAAGAAAAAGGTGACTCACTATCTCTAAAGATCCCATTAAGCATCATTTCTCTCACCTATTTTTCTAACTCTTCCTTATGGAAAAAATGCCTCATGCTGACATGTGCATATCCTGGCTTGAGTGGAATTCCATGATCTAGGGCCCTTGAAGGTGGTAGGGATTTAGGCCCAGCAAACACATCTTGATAAGTGATCAACAATAACTGGATGGAGGGATCAGTTGATTCTTCCTCTTTTACTGCTTGTACCAAGAACAAGTGTGTCGTAAGAGTTTGCCCCTTCGGTATCAATTTTAC